TGTCTCTGTGTGTGTGTGTGTTTTCCATTTGCTTACTCTGATATTCGTAGGCAGTTGGATCAGATCTGGTGCGAAAGCCAAAAACACAGAAGACACAGTTCCACTGGTATGCAGGCCTGAACCCTCAATTTCCCAAGTCGAACTAAATTTCCATCTTGGGGAAAATGAGTTGGGATAAGTGCCACAGTCTTCATTTCCCTTCAGGGAAGTGTTCAAAGCCTTGGACAAGAATGGGGACGGCTTCTTGACTGCTGAGGACGTGTGATCCAGTAGCGTGCGGTTGGTTGCGAAGATGTTCAAGCTGATCTTGCACTTGAAGCTTCTGAAAGATGGGATAAGATGCTACGCTGTTACATCCGTGGCATACTTGCGCTCCTGGCGCAATTCCACGCATTTTCTTCATCTCAAGCAACTTGCCAAAAAGCAGGAGCTGCGAGACGGCATCACCAGGGCAGACATTAAGCACAAGGACCGCAGCCCTGCTTCATGAAATGTGTACTGTACGTAAGTCATGGTTCATCATCAACATTATCATCTTCAACATCATCTTCAACGCGGCGTGCAGCTGAAGCCGTCTCAGCCAGCATGCGGCGGCAGAACGCTATGTGCACAGTCATTGCCCCCGGAGCGCCACGCAAGTTTATGCTGGCTCTCACTGTATGGAAGGACATTGACCTCGCTGCGATAATGGAAGGCGCGAATTTGGAGCCATCACGACCCGTTCAGTTCTAGAGAGATGATTTGTTGAGGTTATTCATTGCGATCAGCGAGCGATCTGTAACTAGGTGCTGCGAGGCTTTGCAGCCGGGTTTTGCATCTCTGCAGGCGTTGACGCCGACGGCAGTGGCCAAATTGACTACACTGCACCTGTGTTGCAAGGGAGACGGAAGGAAAAGCTGAGATGACTTACAGTTTACGGTTCACTCAATCTAGGCATTGTGCGGTTGGAGTGGTCTGTAAGCAGGGAGCTGCATAGTTTGGGAAGCAGGTGACGCGGCAGAGTTCATTCGTTGACCACGGCAAAGAATCCCACATGGTTGCTGATAATGGGTTATCTCGCTCATCCCAGGAGTTCCTGGCAGCAACGTTGGACAAGAGACTGTACCTGCAGCGTGATGCCTGCTGGGCCGCCTTCAGCGCAGCTTGGCGTACAGCTTTGCAACTCTCCGTGGAATCTCGAACTCAGGAGTCCCTTTGGAATGCTTCAGGTGATAGGATGCCAATAGTTGGGGGATCATGGGCGGGATCTGTAAGAAAGTCACTGGCTAGATTTGGGACTTCACGCGTGTGCGGGCGGGCGCTTTGCGTTTCTAAAGTTATGGGGATGTATGGGGCCTGTTTCGCTCCTGGCTGATCGGGTTTTGAATTGAGCTGAGTCTGCAAAACTGGAGGGGCCCAAAGCAGGACAAGCAAATACAACGGCAGCGGCTTCTTACAAGCTTTCTCTTTGTAAGCGGTGTTAAAGGTAGTAGTAATAGTTTAGAATAGTAGTCATTGCAATAAAAGCAACAACATGCATAGGAATTAGTTGCAGTAAGAAGAATAGTAGTAATAATAGTAGGGACCCTAAAACCCAGGTAGGGCCTCTTCTCTGCCTGCATACACTCTGAGATGTTACCTTAGTAGAACTGACGTTGATCTTCGGGCCCTTTACAACTGGGCTCCTGCTAAGGAACTTAGATTAAGTTACCCTAGTTGAGGGCTTAGGCGTTTAGATTGGTACATAGAAAGTACTAGGTTTCCTTTTTTTGGTAACTTAGCTTAAGTTCCTTGACAGCAACCCAGTTAAGCGAGGTGAGGCTGACCGTCAGCCCTTCCTGCCCTAACAACAATAATCATAACAACCCATAACGGTACATAATGGTACTATAGCTACTGCTAAAAATAATAACCCTAAATACATGATGGTACTATATTGGGGTGGGTAGAGGGCGTGGGGGTGGGGGTGGAATTCCAAGCTTGAGAGCAACTCTGGGGCTTCAGACCGGCTTTTGAGCCCATTCTGGGTATGATTGGCTTGAGGTAAAATGTTCCCGTCAGGTTCTACTTTTGTAATCTATCAGGATATTTGACATGAGGGGGTGGGATTTGATATTTTAGGTGGAGGGACTACAGCCCCTTCCCCCTAATGTTCATGNNCCCCCCCCCCCCCCCCGGCACCCCGACCCTCCCCCTGCAATAGTAAATAATCCGGGCCCGGCACAGTGTTTAATATAAGGGGTGTTATTTATTGCAGAATTAGATAGGGCTGCCTTTGAAATTATTCTATTGAATTTACCTGACAATGATAGATCCACCCCTAATCTATTTGGTGGCTCTTGTTAATGTAGTCCTGCCCCTTCTAAAAGTGCTTTTCCGGATTCTTACGATCCTGAGTTCATTATCTATTATTATGGGCTTTTAATATTAGGGGAAGCGATCAAACAGAACGCGGGATGCTGGCGCCAAGAATTAGAAGCAACACATTGCCGAAATGAAGCAGAGCCCACAAAGAGTTGCCGGAGACTTCGGAGAATCTTTGAGCTTGAGACCCTATGTACAAATCTATGCCTAACTCACTTCGGCATGAAGGATTTTCTGGCATCGTCCACAAGCGGCTACACTCTTAATGAGGTCGGTGTGATTGTTGTCATCATTATCACAGAGCTAAGCGCACAGGAGCAAAGACGACCTGCTAGCATCGCTACGATGATCTGCAAGCTGCCCACAACTGGATGTAGGTGAAAGTTGGGGTCCCTCTTGGCCCAGCCAAATAGTAGAGTCCAGCGAAAAAGGCACGTGCAAAGAAGGCACCATAATTTTGGAACACCCTCGACACAAGGTCTTCGACCAAGATGGCAATGGCCTCATCACCGTGGATGAACTGAAGCAGATTTTGGAGGAGGGTAGCATGGAGGAAGTGCCCCTTGACACAATCAGCGGGGTTGAGGCTACTGGGAGAGGTTAGAGTTCAGGGTTTGCCCTGTCCAGGCACAGCAAAGTGCACAGAACATGCGCAAGAGTTCGGAGGGTGGCTTTGCCTGAGCCTGCGCACGGAGGGGCTTGATTTCCCACTCATTGAAGTCTCCAGGCTCTATGCTCCCAGAAATGGGAGGCATCAAGCAAAGATGGGGAATCAGCTTTCTGCTCAAAAGGAATCCTCCATGTCCAGGGTGGTATACCTAATTCTGCTCCGAACCCTCAGCTCAGAATACCAGCTAGAAAGGACACGCGTGTGCGAACAGAATAGCAGAGATACGATCATCAAAACAAAACTGGCTCAGGCTCGATGGCCGGACCTCTGAGGACAGCCCACTGCAAAGCCATGATGGGCTATCTATGTGTTACTAACGCCACGTATTTTTGGTCTAAGGGTTTTTGAAATTGAAGGAAAAGGCTGTGGTTGTGATTTCTTGGTAAGATATGCCGGCCTGGTACATGGGTTGGATTTTCCAGGTAGCTGTATGGGTGTGGATTGCGCTTCAGGTTGCATGTATAGAGGGCCTTCTTGAAGGTCGGGCATAGTCGCCTTCCGGCACATGCCCGTCCCAGCTGAGTCTACCCAGACCCCAGGAGCTACTGCAGGAGATCGACAAGAATGGCGATGGATCTATTGATTTTGAGGAGTTTATGGACATGATGGAGCAGCGTGGCGGCACAGAAGGCCCTAGTGAAAGCGGACTACTGTAGCATGCCTGAGCGGCAGACCGATAACATGGTGACCCAAGTGACGCCTACCACGGCAACCACGCTAGAAAAGGAATACTTTACAAAATCCGAACGCATGGGCAGCTGTACTGAGCTGTCCACATGTTCGCAGAAGCTGGCAAGTCTCACATGAGCTATTGTCAACATTAGCCTCTTTGAGGGTCGATAATCCCTAAGGTAATCCCTCATAAGGAACCCATGTCCATTAGTTTACGTAGGAAATAGTCCCTAAACCATGAACCCAGTAAACCTAAACCCTAAAACTTAAACCCTGCATGGCTTTGAGCCAAGCAGGAGGGAAAAGACCTCAAACCCTAAATCGCCTGAATCCTTAACCCATAATGTAGGAAATATGGCCCTCAACTCCAAACAGCGTTGGATGCGAGGAAAGGTCGCTCACAGTCCATGGAGATTACCACTCCGAAGGCCAAGGGTTTAGGGATTTAGGGTTGCGTGGATTTAGGGCGCAGGAATATAGGGGGTTCAGGGATTAGGCTTGACAGTTGAGGGGTTTAAGGGTTTAGGGTTACTACTGGGACTGCAGTCCTTGTACCACAAGCTTACGCCTTGCAAGATCGTGAACAGCACGTGCAATCAGTTGTCATGCCTTAGCCTCATTGCAGCTTAACAGCTGAGAGCGAGGCATTCTAGACTGGAGTTCCGAACTGATTGGGATGTTTGTCTTCCATGCTTCAAATACAATTTGGCGCGTTTGGGGTTTCTTCGTCACTTATCACTGATGCGTGGCATGCAAACATTGAGAGGCGTCCCAGACGCCGAGAACTCCACTCCGCTCGCGTTCAAGGACTCAGTGTGGGCGTACCGGAAAACCATAGGCGGCGACGTCAAAAGACATGCTGTTTCAAGAATGTGTGTTTGGGCAGGCAATGTAGTACAAGGGGGCCAACTTTGCCAGAAGCTGCGGGTTCTTTGTGATTGCGCAGGAACTTCGATGAATGCTCTCCCAAGCGGGGCAACACAGGCTCTTGTGATTGCATCTAGTGTTGTTTTTGGACGCGTGAAAAAGGGCACCTCTTAAGGGATTGTGAGTTTCAGGTTGGGTTCCACATCCACCCTTGTGAGGCTAACTCATCGGCTTTTCCAGGCGGAGGTACTCTCGACCGCAGAAAGAAGAAGGGGATCATGATAGACAAAGAGCTCCCCGGCTCTAATCAGGTTTGGAAGGCATGGGGCCCCCCTGATTGTGCAGATCAATGACGGTCTCGCAGAGAATCAAATCGAAAGCTGTGTTTGTTTTGATAAATCTTCCAGCTCCACCTTCCCCAACCTTGTTTTGAACCTCCCCCGGAACTATCGCACGGCTGAAATGCCTTTCCTCAGCAATTCCCTAACCTCATGTCCTCCTGCAAACAGTTGTACTGCCATAAGCAGCGGAGGGATTTGAAGTGGCGTCTACGGATCGTGAAGTCAGGCAAATTACATGAGTGATCATATGACTTGTTATTACTATACTCTGAGCTCGAGCAAATGCAAGACTCCACAGAGGCAGGTGGTGTAGGCTTGGCTTACTTGCTGACGGGGTTGCCTCTTGCTGAAGTGACGCATGGCTTCTGACCCCCTGCCCCAACTCAAGACAAAAGGGAAACTCCTTCTGGCCGTATCTGCGGCCAGAATGAGGCGGTGGATGAGCACAAATTTTTCAGAAATGTCGCTGCCCGCTTGCAAATTCAGTAACCTGTTGCCTGGAGCTTTTTTTCTGACCAGACTCTGAGTATGACAGCCTACAAGCCTGTGTGCCAGCGCCTTGCTCAGAACAGGAGGCTCTTCAGCAGAACGAATCAAACATGCTCCGACAGATACTTCCCCTAGCAGCAGCAAATTCACCAGAGGTCTTTAAGTCACGCTTGTGAAGGGTAGTGCAGTTGTGGAAATATCACAACTGGCGCAGTGCTTTAATAAATTTGCATGTAGCAAGTTATCAAGCACTGTTATATGCCACATGTGTTAATTCTCTCTCTATACCGGCAACACAGACTCCTCGTGTACCTCTAGGAGAAAGGGAAGGGTTTCAGTCTCAGGGGTGAGTGCAGATGAGGAGTGGGCCACGACGTGAGGCAGCTTCCAGGCGCAGGAGCCCACGTTGCCGCACCGAAGCACAGCTCTGTCCGGGCTAGTGGCAGATATATCTAGGCAGGCTAGGAAGGCAGCAACGCGTTTCAATTTGTGCTTATTCGGCTGGAGTGGTGTGCAGTTGAGCACCCGTGCTTGGTTCGGCTGTAGGACAGGTCCAAGATGTAGCGCGGTTTGGTTTGTGCATGTTGTTTGTGTACCCCTTCCGGGGGTAGGCCGATTGCACATCATGAGTCTCTCATTGCTCTGCATCCACAGGGCTAAAGCCTCACAGTCCTCACCAGAAATAAATCTGCCTGATCCGGACCCCAGTGCTTTGCAGCTGTCACCCTTGTTGGATGGAGATGGTTCCTGAGCACAATCTTAGCCATAGCCTGCTAACATTCCAATGATGGGTGCCAGCGCACGCGTGGAGTGGCCAGCACCATTTCTCACCCACGAATGTTGCGCCTGCGTGTACCACAAAATCTCACTGTTCGATTTTTTCTGCCATGTTGTATTTTCTCGGACACTGGCGCTGTCAGTGCGGCCAGTTGGAGGTTGGGGCTGTTGGCGCTTTAATTATGCTTCATAGTCAGGCAGTAGCTTAAACTAGCGGTCACAGCTGAAGAGCGGTCTTGCTGGCATATGCTCACAGCAACTCGGAGTAATAGCAGGTGCATTGATCGCACTGACCGGGTCAAGCAGTTGCTGTGTCTAGGGAAGTTCGTGCCAAGACGGTGGCTTGACTGCTTGGAGTACGGGCCTTGTTGGGGTTTAGATAGATTTCTCCCATGGATTCTCTTCCAAGGAAGTGCACATTTTTGTGGTGATGCGCAGGAGGCTTGGGGCAAAACTGCAGAAAGTTGTGGTCTCGGCTGTATCTCGTATTGGCATTGCCTGAATTCCCTTCTCCGCCTTATTATTGTTGCAGGGCGCAGCTTTTCAGCACGCCGATAAACTCTTCAATTACGTCAGCATGAAGCTAAGCTTACCAACCTCAATGAAGACGCATATTGAGATCATGCATACGGCATGAGTTTTCAACAGTCCTCGTAGATCTTGAGGCCACCTACAGGATGTGGGAAATTGAGCGGTCATGACTGGTAAAATCAAAGCCTTTGACAAAGTCGACGCACCAGAGTGCTAAAGAGGCACCGCTGGAGTTTTTAATGATGACCTGACCTTGTATACAAGGCAGGCAGTGTCTCTGAAAAGCCCATGCCACGTCTTTCTGATGTGAACACTACAGCGCCCTGAGGTCCAGCTGCGCAGAAGGGCACAGATATTTTCCATGTTTGGGATGGCAGCAAAAGAAAGCGGCAGCGTTTTAAGCGCAAGCGCTACGCCAAGGTATACTGAAGAGGCAACCAACTCCTCATCAACATGGGTTATTTAGAGCTCGGGCAAGTAGGCCATCTACAGTTACAGGCTTTGGAAGATCATGTGCTGAGGACACTAGCTGAATGTCCAGGACTTCTTTTGCATGGAAATTGAGACCTCTGCTCATATGAGAGCAACCATCATCTGACTGCGTTAGTGACGTTGAGGGTGATCAGTTTTTATACAGGCGAATGGAAGCTCCGGTGCCCCTTCGCAGCTGAATCCTCATGGGTGTTTGCAATTTGCACAGCCAAGGAGCCTGCACTGCAGCCCCATTTAGTTGATGCCGTGCTTACCTGTGGGCAAGACGTTGCTGAAAAGTCTGGAAGCCCAAGAGCAAAAGCAAAAGGGCTTTAGCTGTAGGATTGCACAAGCCAAGCGCGTGTAAAGCGTGCTGGGCCCCCTAGACACACCGGAAGCGGTTGCTTCATGTTTCAATCATAGTTATCAATGCCTTCTGTGTCGTTGATGTTTGCATCCGCTTGATCCAGATGGTGCACCTGAACACCTCGCACTACGTGTGCGGTGTGCTTGGGGAGGGATCGCGATGAAGATCTTGCGGCCCGGTCCCAGCTATGGACGCCTAATTACTCTAGGCATATAGGCTAGTGCATTTGTAGATGAGGCCAGCGAGGCATTCTTTTCTGCGGAGGATTATGCGTTTGCAGCCTGGCAAGGCCAGGATGTCTTTTGTAAGTGCTGCATGTTTCAGCAAGGGCGCTTGACCCCGTCCACATGAACGCAAGGGACAACAACTAGCACCAAGTGGCTTTTTTCACAGCCGTCGAACAGCTCCCCAGCAAAACGACATGGTGTGCCTCCTTGTCTTCGTAACTATCAACAAAGTGAGCCAGAGGTAGACGAATGCAGACTACGATTCCTCCTTGTAGCTAGCACCTGACGGGAATAGCATTTGTAGAGATCAGCAACAGCACTGATTGGGGTCCGGTCAGCACTCACAGGGGTACATCGCCATGAAAGTTGACAACTTGAGCATGCCGACCAGTAGTTACCATTTCGCCGTTCAATGCCAACGCTGCTTTTAACACGAATATGAAGTTGCCTGTTGGATTTTGTGTGGCCTTGCCGTGGCAAATATTGGGCTTCTCACTTAGACAGCCATGAGCTGCGTTTCTAAAAATGCAGACTTAGTGCACACTGCAGGTTCAACAGCGGCATGCAAGACTTCAGCAGTTACCAAGATACAGACTTGGCAGCGCTGGGAAATCCGAATCCTGAAGTCTCCTAGCGATTTCGTGGTAGCCCTATCCTCAGAAACTGCTGAAGCTTCTTATTCTACTACCATTATAGGAGGGCTTTACGTTCCATCACGAGGCCAGCCAATTCAGTTAGAAGCCACGCCATTCATGGTGTAAGGCATAAGGCTCTGGGTCACTCGCGCTCTGTGATGTAAAGACGGAGCGCTGCACCTCAAAGGAAACAGCCTGCGGGGCTGGAAGAGGTGGCAAAGAGCCGTGACAACTGAAGTATGGGGGTGGTCGCAGTGACAGCAGCCGCAGCAGCGTCGTTGGCATCATCAAGCCTTACCCTCAAGGGAGCCCTACTGTACGGCCTAGTTGCACAGAAGTTGAGTTGCAACGTGTGTCAGTCTTCCTTGTCCTGAGAAGAGGTTAGCAGAAAACACCATGCCAATCCCAGCAGCCACCTCCTTCCAGAAATGTCGGCACCGTTTCAGCTCGCTGCAGATGCTAGCGAGCCCTAGTCGTTATGCTGATGTGCCATGTTCGAAAAAAAAGCCGTTCAAAGCTGTGGGTTATGCAAGCAAACGTTGGGCTTCAGGTCTGCAGGGCGTTCCCAAGCTAAACAACCAACTCCTTTATGTTTTGCACTGAATCTTGTACAGTATATCGGTCCCGTATGTATTCCACCTTACTGCTGGGCATTGCTCTCTGTACGGTACCTGTCTGACGCTGGCAGCTCTCACTGTCAACCTACCCCTTGCGGCACCGCAGTAAAGATGATGCTGCAACCAATAAGCCACACAAGCTGAACCTTGAAATGCGGTTATCGACGCGACGACATATCTTGGTGAGTGCTTGTTAGGTAAATCCAACAGAGTTTTTCCCTTCCCCCTTACGGCGGGTAGGAAATTTCTGGATCCGATCACCGAAGGGCACAAATTCTCCATGAGACCATGCTCCAGAGCCCCAAACCCTATATTGCCCAAAGCCCTGGCCAAGCACCGACTGGCTCGCCGCCACGACGTACTACTGATTCGCCGCCACGTACGAACATTGTGGAGCGCTGGGCATGTATCCATGTAAGTGTGTTCACGTGATGCGCAGCTTTCAAAGACGTCGTACGAGGTATGAAAGGGATGGACATTGGACTCTCGTTTAAGTGATTTGATTGGAACACGACAGGTAACATAACAAAGTATGTCAACACATACACCACAACTTGGAAAAAGATAAGGCACTCGCCCGATGATCACTAGCCCTGACTAGAAACAAAAACCGCACGCCATGTACATGCAGCGAAGGGATAGCCAGAAGCACAGCTTATGCAAAGGAATCTCCACAGTAAGCTATATTCAGGCTTTAGGATGGTCCATGCCCAGTGGCCTTTCCTCAAAGCTCTCTGGAAGCATCCAGGAGGAGCCCGTGGTCTCCCCCATCCTCGGAGGCATCGTAAGCTCCCCAATGAGGCGCCTTTGGGTGACTGCTTGCAGCTGGAAAATGATAAGAGAGTTGATGTATTCTATAGTCTATAGAGGTTCTTGCACCTGGGCAAGTGAAGTCTTGGCGGTGTTTTGGAGGTCCAGGTTCAGCTTCTGATGCCTGACTTGAATCAGAGAGTTGCAGGTGGTGGGTTTCAGGTTGAAGCTGAAACGCTTTCTTGATGTGGACGTGAAGCTTTATGGGCTCAAGTTGAGTTCCCGTGCCCAGAGATGTTGCCATGCTTGTCAGATACGGCCAGACAAGTGTTCCCACCATATGGCTGCAATGTAGCTTGGTACTATGCTTCGAGAGGCTTTCGCATGACCTTGAGAGCACGCGGTGTGGACGAAGCTACTTAGGAAGCAGAGCTGGAATTTCTGGCTTCAGCACATTCAGTAGCTACAGCAGCTCAGCAAAAGACATCGGCATACAACAAAGTTGCAAGCGTGTTCTCTTCCATTCCAAGCTTCTGCCGCCGTCATGCAGAAGTGCAACCCTCAGCGGTGACCAGTTTCCAAGCCCCGCTTGGGTTCTCCCAGTCAGGGCACCTGGATGAAAGCGCATATAATGTGAGTGCAACTGAGATAATCGACTAGCTTGGAATCCCATTGCGCTTGAATAGGTATTGGCATCCATGACGCCTCAAGTGGCGTTCGAATTTACAACCAGCAACTTCGTGCTTGTCCAAGGCACGATTCAGGCCTAAATGGTACTAAATGGTAGCATCAATGCACACTAAATCGCAAGTACGGAAACGAAAGAAGAAGAAGAAAAACAAAACCATCAAGAAGCAGCAACAATCCAAGGCCACAGTCTTTGGCACAACGGCGGCTAGCACGCACAGCGCGGCATGTTCAGGTGCAGGGTTGTTATTAAGGGTGTGGCCCCTTTGCGTAGCTAGGGAGCTGGGGAAGGGTTTGGTGACTCTGGTTTACAGGGTTTGAGGGTGATGTACCTCGGCTCCTAGCTTTCTGAGGGTCCGCGGCTTGCTCTCAGCAACCTGCAGTGCTTCTGATGAGATTGACGCAACATGCCGCAGCTGCGTCACGGGCCCAAAAGTTTAGATGGCGGAAGTACGTACTACAGTGCAGGGGCCTACATCTTGTCTTTGCAACTGCCAGCCTTCAGTGGCCATATATAGACCAGCATCAGGACAGTTTTTTCGTTCTGCGGCAGGGCGTGCAGCCATGGCGCAAGTAATGATGGATTTGATGGATCCCGTCGACACCACCCATGTTGGCCAGGCTGCCTCGGATGCGTTGTGTTGGAAGCTACGCCATCAGAAACAATCATGACTATTATGGGGCAATGTCCTATGGAGCTTTTCCTCGAGTGATTACTGATGACAATCCTTAGTGTTATGGACTATAGGCAGCTATTCAGCAGAAATCGTGAACGGCTGTGGGATTGGAAGTTGCTGCTGTTGATCGGGCACCTGCTATGCTTGACAAAGTCCCCTTAGCATTGCTTGCGCGGTAGAGTCAGCAGTAGTCAGCCAAGGCTGATGAATGTCGGCTTGATTCCTAATATTCAATGCCGCCCTTTCCAAGATCCGCAAGCTAACACGCACGCAAGCGCCTTTCTGCATGACCGCAGTTCACTGCTAGCGGCTCGCGCGAAAGCATGAGCAAAAGAATCCAATCTCGCAGGCGGATGATCTTACTTGCAAACCCAGCCCTGGCTTATACATACATCATAAGTCTTCCCAGGCTCAGAGGCCTTGAGGAGGCGTGCAAATTACAGAACCTCCAAAAAACTTGAATGACTCAATAAGGCCTCAGTAGTCCGTAGTTTCCGTCATAGTCCCTGATGAGCTCTAGTAGTTCCAGACACCCATCCCAAAGCCAAGGAGCAACCTTGCAAGTATGTCCCTGACAGGGATTCTTCAATGCTACCTCCAACTTCAGGCTCGTTTGCATCGAGGGGATTAGGGAGCCTGACTTCCTTGATGCTCAAATGAAAAGACCCAAGACAACATTCACGGAACCTATTGATATTGGGATTCCCTCCTGACTCCAGTCCGTCATGACTACCGGCAACCGGGAGTACAGTTTGAGGGTTGACCGTCTTGAAGCGAATCTTGCGTGTAGCCTTGCCTGGGCGTACGGGGGTTGCAGGAGCCTCCTGTGAGCTCTTACCGAGCCCTGAGACTCCTACACATAGAGATGAGAAGACTCAAGCAGTCCAGAGCCTAATGCCTAGGGTATTCATTGCCCGTCCCTGCCTTTTTTAGTCTCTCTCTTTCTCTCTCTCTCTCTCTCTGTCTCTCTCTGTCTCTCTCTCTCTCTCTTCTGCCCAGAACGAGGAACATGGTTCGTGGGATGCCCACTATCTTCAACCCACGCGCGGTTGCAGTGATCAACCAAGCGATGAGTTGTCCCTTGGGCCGCGCTTATGGGCTGCGCTGCATACCTGACAGCAACCGAGTTTACCCAGCAGTCTCATAACCTTACATAGCCCTATATATATATACGAATATTTGTTACTACATACACACCCTATACAACTTATAGCCCTCTATACAGGTACATGTTCCCTACTGCATTCACATGCTTCCCGAGGTTATCCGCCCAAGATCCATCTGGGGCGAGCCACCTCCTACTTGAAGCCGCTCTCCATCGAGAGGTGTGCCTGGACCGGCTTAGGGGCTGAGAGAGTGGCCTCAGATTCTTAGGGGATATATGAGCTACTTTACAATCTCCTTAAAGGGGGTTATTTAGGGGAGTATAGAGGGGAGCATGAAATAGGTTATGAAGGGGGATGCTAGGAGTTTAGTATGATTTATATGAGGGCTTCCCCGAAATTAGGGGGATGCCTTTTTGGGGTCCCATACTATACTCAGGATTAGCATATTTTGGGGTCTATGTCGGGGTTCTCCTGTTTTGGGAAACTACCATATGTATATATATATATATATGTATATGTATACATATATAGAGGGGCGTATTTTGGGATAATTGGAAAAGAGATGGAGGCTAAAATGGTCTGGGTGACAACTGTGGCTGCCTTCAAAAAAGTGTCCTGAGGTGTGAACCGAACTGGCTACAAAGACTTCGTTGGCGTATTCTATCCGCACGAACCTTGGACGAACAGGGGATCCTAGTGTAGCGGTCCGAAGAGGCGAGTGCAACGAAGGACCGCCCAAAATACGAAGCCTCTTGCCAGGAGCCACCTGGGATGGCTCTTAGAGCTACACCACGTTCTGTAACAGAGCTCTTCACAGTACTCTACAAACAGCCCGGGAATGAAAGGCTTCACACAACAACATGTTCAGCCACTGGACCTTTGCGCCGTTATGATAGTAAAGAACAAGCCCCATAAGGTGTTGCGCGTCTTCAGGTTTGGCGGAGAAGCAGCAGACAGCGGCGCACACGGCTGAAGAAGCGGCTCGAACCTTCAGAGTTGTTTCGCTTGTCTGTAGATGCTCAACTGGCCTCAGTTGTATACTGCGGGTGGTCGCAATGTTGTCTTCTCATGTTGGGAACATGTAGCTGGCCGGGACTTTGAGCTTTGGCTGGGCCAGCTTTGGGGAACTTACGCAAAAAAGGGGTCAGATTGACTCTGGCAGGGTGGGGCACGGCATGGGACTTGCGGGAAATGCTCTGGTGCTGCACAAAGCGGCCCCCCAGCCAAGAGCGCGACATCCCCAGCAAAAACTGATGCCCCTCCTGCAGTCAGGTGCCAACATTTGGGACGCTTCATCACAGCCCTGTAACTCGGCCGTGCAGGTTGCTAGGGTTTGCTTGAGGGAGTTCCGTGTCGCAGGTCGGAGGTTCCAGGGTCCAAGTAGTACCTTGATGAAGCACAAGAGCGGGCACCGGAGTCAGCGGCTTAGCCAAGCCATGCCCTTCAGGTGCCCTAGTTGTTGGTTACTTTCACGCTGAGGCAGCTCTTGGGGCGTGGTTCTCGTGATAGCTGCCAACTCTAGAGACACGAGGGAGTCATGCACAAGAAGGGTTGTGCTTTCACTTGACGGGCCAGCATCTGCAAATTCTGGCCGGAGGCCTTCGAACTAAAGAAACATCAGCCAAAGGAACTGCATCGGCTACGATGTGGAGGTCTCCTTGGCACTCATGCGTTCGGGCCAGTGGAAGACCAACTACCCTGGACGCTTGGGCTGCATCAGGCACAGAAGATGCGCAGTTGATCTAGCACCAGATGCGACGGGGCCACAGGCCAAAAATGGTTGAACCCGCCAGGATTCATTGAGATGATGGGCGGACCTCTTCGTAGCGCCTGGCTTGAAAAGGAGAGGCACCATACTATGCACAGGTTGAGGCCATGAAGATATTTTGATACAAGCGCTCAGAAAACTCAACCTGCAGCATGCATCTATCCGAGTCATCCTCGCCACTAGGGGTGATATCTCTTGATTAGCTTCTAGTTAGTCTTGCCACTCTTATGTTTATGACTGCTTCTTTCCTTGCATTGTGCAGCTTTTGTGGCGTGCTCCACCCTGCACTGACCAGGCTGGGTGTCCAGCTGGCCCAACAATTCTCTGGTCGTCGTGCGCCGTGGCACGAAACCAAAGCTGTTGTGAGATAATGCTTGCCACCATGTCTTCTTGTTCCTCCTTTACCGACCACGGGAACAATACAGGAAACTTCGCCCAAATCCAACATCCTAGGCCCCCAAATCCTTGACTTGAAATCGTCAAAGCCTAAGTGCCCGAGCCTTAGGACCAGTGGGTCTGGGAGACTCTTCCATGATGCGCTGCAGAGCCCACGCACCCGGACAGCGCCCCTCTTCTGGGGACCCAACGCCCTTTTCCCTCTTCGGGATGACCTGCGGATCATGTCCGGGCTTAGTGGGATTACTTATCAGCAAAGCATTGGGGTGTTAGAGGTGAGAAGTTCCAGTGTTCTGGTGGCTGCGGAGAGTCTTTTTCGTCTGTCGGATGCCCTCACCCTCATATGCTGTATCACGTGAATCCGACTCTACTTACACTGCTAGATGATATGCCAGCAGCCTCCCGGATTCTGCAAGCTTAGGACCCTCGTGACTTACGCTGGATCATCTGATTGGTTGGCGTCCAACTATGCCACTTTCATGCACATGCAGTAGAAAATTCAGAAGTTTCTGAAGTCCGCTGCTATTTAAAGGCGATACTCAGCTACATGGACTGGAACGACCGCGTGTGCGACCGGATGCACATGAATTGCTGCATTCCTCAAGCAACCAAGGCCTTTGACTTCACTTCAGGCCTCGCTCGGGCTGCTCAGAGACAATAGACTTGCAGATTTTTAGGTCATGCTCCTGGCTGTGGCATTAAGCTGAAGCCGAGGAGCTGAACATCTCCAAGAGAGACTCAACATCATGCTGCGGCTCAGCACTTAGATTGATCGTCACACTCCGCTCTGTCCACTATCAGGTTAGGTCTTCAGAGCCCATGTGATTAATGGTTTGGCAAAGCCAGATTTGCATGCATATTGGGGTTGATTGTTTGCATGCACGATTAGGGTGAACCCTTGCACAGCCGGCGAAAGCCATGGCATGTGCAGCTCCGAACAATATCATGCGCAGGGTGGGAGAGTTGATCTGTCCCTGTTGTCAGGATAGGGATTGCATGAAGCCAGCATCAGCTGAGGTGTAGGGGAAATGCATGCTGCCTCCAATGATGTTCATAGACCCATGGAACAATGTGGACAATTTCAAGGTGCCGGCTATCCGAAGGAGAGTATTGCCCTCGGACACAAGTGTCTTGCTAAGCAAACGCGGGAGCAGGGAATTCATGAGTCACGGGGCTGTGCCGTGTTGTGAAATGTTGCCCCTAGAGTCCTAGAATACAGTATGTTCGAGGTATAGCAGTCGCGTGGAGGTCAGCAGGAGCACGGGTCCTGAGAGTAAACTAGCAAGCCAGCCTTGGTCCCAATTTTGCACCAGCAGCGAGGTATTACTACTACCCCGACACTTGGAAGAATGACGCATGTTTGCAATGGGCAGTTGTTTTTAGGAAGCGCAGAGTCGCTGAACTCTTAGGCTTGCATTATGTGCTGTTTGCTTAGAGCTGTCTGGCCCTTTCTGAGTCTAAATCGTGCTGACAAAGGTTGGGGATTGAAAGGGGGCTGCCAGTCTGGTAGTACCAGCTCAGGATGTCACGATGCAGTATCCCAGCGCGTACGATGCCAAGAAGCACTGGCCGCCTGGCAGTTCCTGAGTGAACGAGGTCTACGCGTGCTTTTGGCGGCCAGGCATAATGACACTGGCCTGATGGCTGCCGTTGTTGCTAGTTCCATCCTGATAATTGTCAGCCCAACTACGAAAGGCAACCTTGGAGGATGTTAAAGGGACCCTCTCAGACAAACAAGATCCGTACCATGAGCATACTACGGAGCATACTATGAGCAAAAAGATGAAGGTAGTAGACGGACCCACCCAGAATACACTAAGCACAGGCCATGGACAAACTCTTGAGGGTAGTAAAGAGACCCACTCATAAACTACTGAATCCAGAAAATGAGCATACTGTAACATGCATTGTGTAGGGTTGGAAAGGGACCCACCCATATGATACTAAGCCCAGACTGTGCTCCGGTACCAGCACACATTTTGTTCGTGAACGCTGTTATTCTTTGAATATTGATGCTCGGTTAAACGTGCAGTTGGAACATGGATGCTCTTGGTAGATGTATGTATTTGGAACACGAACGGCATTGTGCGTTGGACATGGATGCTCGGGTGACCGCATGCATTTGGAAGTCATGCGCATTTTGCTCTTGGCAGGAAAAGGCTGGATGCTCTGCTAACGGTATGAAGTTAGAACACGACTTTATCATGTTTGAGGCATGGATGCGCGTGTAATGGATGCAGCTGGACCACGAATGCGACGCATCCTCCGGCGCTGAGTGGGTGTAATACCTCCTACTACTATACTAACTACTAACCATGAACTATTACTACTACTACATACTACTACTACTACTACTACTACTAGACGACGATTACGACGACGATTACGACGACGATTACGACGACGATTACGACGACGATTACGACGACGATTACGACTACGACTACGACTACGACTATGCCTACGTCGCCGCCGACGCCGCCGACGCCGCCGCCGCCGACGACGCTGACGACGCAGACGACGAAGGACGACGCCGACGATGCCCATGACGTCGACGCCGTAGCCGCAACCGCCACTGCGAGCGCCGGCGCGACCACGACGACCACGACGGCGACGACGAC